TTACAGGCACGGGGTGTGGAATTGACCTACCTTCACGTGGTGTACCCTGGGCAACGTGTACTCATACGGCAAAATAGTCTATTAATCGGCAGTTGACTTTTGACTTCAAACTAACATGACCCCACTATATGCCATATTCCATCACTTCCACAGTACTCATATTGCCTTTTCTTTGTGTCGGTATGTCTGTTTCTTTTACATCCGTGAATCATTATTTTGTCCCCTCCTTCGACTTTTTGTCACTTTGATGTAACCCGCCTAATCTCTATGAAGTTCGAAAGCAGCTAAAGTCAAAACGCCTGCCATTTGAAATAAATAAATTCCTTCAGGCCACGTGACCACTTGTAAATAAGCACAGAAGCATGTAGAACTTGACCAAACTGAGTTATCAGAAATAACCAATCAATGCGCTTTAAAAGCCGACTTTTGAGATGATAATTAGGTAATTGGAAGTTTTAAATTTCAATTATAATTAACAAAAGTATAAAAAATTCCAATTAAAAATTCACTCAGCATACTTTTCTCGTGACCTAAAATGATGTTATATCTCCGCCGAATTTCCGATGTTTTTATGTTGTTACTAAAATCAGATCAATATATTTTTTAAAATTCGATCTTTTTTCGTCTTGGGTCGGAAATTCTAGTTTTCTTATGAGTGGTGAAAGGAGATTTGAAGTAACAAATCTGACAGATCTGATAGGCGATTGAAAGGAGGTAAAACTACAGACAGTTATTAATTTCATTACAAAAAAATAGATTTTTGATTTGTTCAAAACTTTCGTTGCGTTAAAAATATATATATTATATTAAATTTTTTAACGTGTAAATGTGGTGTATTTGCTGATGCAATAAAAAATTCAAAATAGAATATAGTTTTTCTTTTCAAAGCAATCGATTGAAGATCAGAACTAACAATGAAATTATTACCTGCCAATCGATGAATTTGATGATGAAAACTTCCTTTTTGTGGTTTCTTAAAACTAATAGCATAAAATGTCTGCGTACCACGAAGATTGTGTTTTGGACCTTAATTTACAGTAAAATATGGACAATAGTTCTTATTGCAACTCCTTTCAAATAGCCCATCGCTTATTTTAAAAGGCGGGGTGTGCGATAGACTTAGCTCCACGTGGTGCACCCTGGGCAACGTATATTCATACGGCTCCACGTGGTGCACCCTGGGCAACGTATACTCATAAGGCACCACGTGGTGCACCCTGGGCAACGTGTACTCATACGGCAAGTAAGTCTATCACGTGGTGCACCCTGGGCAACGTATACTCATACGGCAAACAAACTGGTGCACCCTGGGCAACGTATACACGGCAAAAGAGTCCGGGTGCACCCTGGGCAACGTATACTCATACAGCAAAAATGTGGTGCACCTTGGGCAACGTATACTCATACGGCAAAAAACGGTGCACCCTGGGCAACGTATATTCATACGGCAAAAAGTCTATTGACTGGCAATTGACTTCTAACTTTAAACTACCATCACCTCACTCTATGCCATATTCGAGTATTTACACAGTACTCACCTCACCTTTGTTCTACCTTTATATTTGTTTCTTACATCTTTGAAACACTCTTCTGTCCCCCCCCCCTCTCGAATTTTTTCAATTTGATGTTCCTCCTCCCCTCTGTGAAGCCTGAAGTCAACTAAAGGACTAATGATAACCATCAAGACGTCTGCCATTTGATATAAATAAATAAATTATTTTAAAAGGCAGCTCGCAGTAATTAAATGCAGTAATTAAAATGGGAACGTTAAAGCATTCCAATAGATTAAAACAATAATAATAATAAAGGTTAAACACATCTCAATACCAAAAATAACTCCTTTGCACACTTTGACTGCACATTTAACACAAAAAAACGAGGCACAGACACCCATTTCTTCACACAACAAAAGGAGGCAACAGAGAGCTAACGAAATTGGATGCTTTGTGCCTTATTCTTATCAATACCAATCGGCATTTCTATTGTGCAGTTAAATTCATGCAAATAACGGCCATCAAGTTATTTAAACAAGGAGTTGCACCCACATGAAAATGCTCCATCCCTTGAGTCATTAAGAAGCGCTGGTCCACCGTTAACTGGGAGAGGTCTGGAGGTATTCGAGGTGTAAATCTTTCTCTGAGCGGGAGAAAGTGCTGACGACCATCCTGATGGAGGATTTGTGCTTCCATTCACTCCTCTTGGAAGGCTGACTGGTCGGGAAGTGAGAATTCCAGATGTGTAGCCTGGTCGGGGTACTGACGATTGGAAAAAAATATTGACTAAGATCACGAAATATGGGAGCGACAAAGATAGTAATGGGATATGCGGTAATTTGGTTATTAATGTTGATTGATTTATCGGTCAGTGAGAATGTGTAGCATGCAAGAGTGGATCAATTTCTTTGATCTGGTTTTCTATTGATAGCATCATACCTAAAACCGTTACAGATCTTGAGGAACCTATAAGTTGTTCAACAAGGATTTACTTCATAAGTACTTATTACAGATGTAGATATGTATTAGATGTAAGCCCAAATAAAGGCGAAATATGTTGACTGTTAGAAAGATCATTGTGAAAGTTGAAAAACCGGCATGCTTAGGAAAGTAAATATTTTTTCGGCAAAAAATATGTATACAAAATAGAGCCTAGTTGTAGGATATTTGGCAGTGGTGACGCCTGAAGGGGGTG